AGGCTCAGCAGGAACGGATGTGCTGATGAGCAGGTGATGTCTGATGGGGGCGCTGGTGGCGGGAGTGGGTATGGACAGCATTCCTGCCATGTACTTTGTCTGCCTTGCTGGCAGGGGGTGTTTGGGAGCACTGGATCTCCCCCTAACCCCAGTAGACCACCACTTTGTCATCCTGCATGTGGACACTGGTCACAGATAACCCCACTGAGACAGGACCCTCCAGGAGATTCTGCAGCTACTCAAAAAAGCCAAAACACATTCTAACGAGAGGACAGAATTAAAAAAAAAAAAAAAGTCAAAGAAGATTATTCACTTGAATCTACAGGCTTTCTGTTGTGACAAAGGTGATTGGATTAATTTGACAATTTTTCTCCCTCCCTCTCTCTCTCTCTCTCTCATTTTTCTTCAAGTTCTCTTTTAGGATGAAATTAGGTTAGTTATTATTTAGGATCATAATCTATTCATAGGTAATGCAAGTTGATTTTCTGATGTTTCTCCTCCAAGGTATTAATATTAAAGTGAGCCTGAAGGGATTTTATTTTATTTTATTTATTTTATTTTTTTTTGAGACAGTCTCACTGTGTTACCCTGGCTAGAGTGTGAAGGGATTTTATTATTTGCCCCTTGTTCTCTATTGTCTGTTTCTAAGAATGCACTGTGTTCTCATTACTGGAGCTGCTTACTTCACAGAAGTAAAACACACAGAGCTCTTGGCTTTTTTCTTTCCCACCTTGTATACTTTCAACACACAGGGCTCTCAAGGCCAACACCTGTGAGAATTTCCTTTCTTGGAAGCCAAGCAGATTTTACTGGTAAGCACTGGCCATTTTTAAAACTAATTTAAACCCTGTATTGTAGCTACCATAATAATCAGCGTTATCCCATTTTGTAAGCGGAGAACTTAAGACACAGGTTAATTAACAGGTCTCAGGCCACACAGCTAATAAGTAGCAGAGCTGAGATTCAAAGCCAGGCAGTCTGGCTCCAGAGTCTACACTGTTCATCTCAGTGCAATGCTGCCTCTTGTAGTTAGTTTGTTTCCTGGTATGATCACAGATTATGGGTAGAAATGACTTCCTGGGATACTTCACTATGGAGACTTTCACTCATTTTGTATCTTTGTGTTAAAAGTAACGTTAGCAATTGGGAAGGGCATTTGCTGGCCATAGAGGATGCTCCTCCCACAGGTTGATATTTGCAATACAATTTCTATGGCCTCTTACTTCTAATTCCTGGGAAGGGCTAGGGGAGCAACTGAGGGAGGAAACTTACTAGAGAGTACCAAGCTAGCTTATGACACAATTTTGGCATTTTAATCCCCAAAGGATTGATATACTTGTTGCTCAGGAGGCTGTATTTAATAAATAAGACAACCTATGAAAGGTGTTAGGCACAGCACCTAGACAACAAAACCTGGAGGTAATTTTACATCTTTCTTCCATTCTGTTTTGCAGCAGTCACTGCTAAATTGCTGTCTAATAAGTAGTGATTTGTGTTGGGAATGCCAGACCACAGAGTAATGCTCTGTGGATTAGAGCCAAGCAAGGATATGTGCTGTTTCTGCAGGAGATTCTGTTTTGGAAGCAGGAGAACCATTTATGTTTCTCCATTAGCGGTGGGGACAAACCTACATCACATCTTTAGAAATGGCCAAAACATTGATCGCCTCACCCTAGACTTCTTTCTTCTAAAAGCTGGTTCTACCTTGGGATCTTTGATATTGAATGTTGATGAAAAGTGAACCAAATTTGTGATGATCAATTTCAGAACCACTATGGTGAATAAAATGACTAAATTTTTAGTACCGTGAACATTCTGCACCTTAAAAGTATTGTCCAGGTTCCAAATTATGCCTATCGTTTCTCCATTTTTATGCCCTCCTGATCATCTGAAATAATTACTTCCCATTTCTTGATTGAAAAGGCATTGCGTATGTTTTAACATTGAAGTCCTGGAACTTTAGTTTTTTTCTCCCAGAGATAATAAGAAATTCCAAAGCCACTTTTTTTTCTAATTTAGAAATAAAACATCTTCATTGTACTCTATGTGAATATTTATTCAATTACTTTATTTATGTTCTGCCAACACTTATAGTTAATGGATATTTTTTTCTATATTGCTTTATGTACTGATTTATTTATTCACTTAACAAATTAATGACCTAGTTAATATTTATTTTCCCTACTTATATGTAAATTTTATAAGATCAGGGATCTTTTTGTCCAGGTCTTTGCTTTATCTTCAAAGCTTGAAGCTAAGTCTAGTTAGAGCATGGACAGTACTCAATAAATATTTGAATGAATCCATGAATGAATTATACACACTTTAGAATTTATAGAAAAGTGAATGGAAGAAAATAGAAGCCCTAGAAATAAACTGTATAACATTTAAAATATACATGTATATTTAAATATGCCTGTATATACAGGCAGTCCTTATTTTGTACAGTGATGCACGGCCATGAGAATGACCATGTAAACTGAAATTATGCAAAGTAATTCTAATAATCAATGGGAAAAGTTATTGTTCCTTGATCTTTAAAAAATTTTCATGTTACTAAAATCTCTCTTGTTGGCTGTAAAGGTACAGGGAAATTAAAAAAAAAAAGGAAAAACTAGTATTTACTTAGTACACAGTAATTTAAAACATTAGAAATATTGAGATTAAAGTGGTTTATTTCTTTGTAAGATCTTATCAGAAGTAGTTTGAATAGTGCTTGCTTTCTTTCTATTGCATAACTTATGATATGGAACACATTTTTTTTCTGTGCCTAGACAAATCGTCATGCTAAGTTTAGATTAGCTTACAACACTTTATCCTTTGTGCTTTCCATGTGAAGAAATGTCTCCTACAGTTTTTATTAATGTGAAGTATTTTGCCAGTGTCACTTTGTCTAGGACGCCATCATCCTTTTCATCACAGCCACCTTCCTTATTTATAAGGTTAAGTTCACCTTCCCCAAGCTCCTCTGACTGTACATCCAGCGCCTCTCAAATGGTGGATGGAAGCCCAGTCAACATTCCATGGTCGGCTATGTCTTCCATGGCTCTATTTATATTTGATACAAATTTCACTTCCAATATGGTCTATTTTTGTTTCTGCGCTGTACTTTCATCTTTGTTGGCCAATTCCCTCTTTTGATTATCCACGTGATGTGGATTTATAGTCGGAAGACAAGAAGGCAATGCTTCTACACGCTTTGCTGCCTGTGGGTGAACCAAGTAACAAACATGCAGTGACCAGTCACTGACAGACTTTGAAAGAAGTGCTGTGATTGGTCGAAGATCATGATGCAATCTGCTAGTTACGTGGTGATTTGTGGACTGAAGGGCTAACAGCAAAGCTTGTACTTTATGCAATTACAGTTAATATACCATGTTAACTGAAACTTGAACTGTGTTCTTAGTGTTATTGAACTACACTGTGGTAATTCAAATGCACACATGTCAGAACTGAGCAAAGTGAGGGCTGTCTCAATTAGAGGCTTTATTGTGTGGATATACGTATGTATTTTTTCTTTACTAAAATGGGATCACTTTGTGCCTATGGTTTTTATTTTTTCATTTAATTTTATATGATATACATGTCAAAAAAACAGCAATCTTGACTTCATGTTTTAGGATTGCTTAGTATTTTATTGTGTAGAGTGTACCATACTTTATTTAACCAATCCACCTTTTGGATATTTGGGTTTGTTTTTTTTTTTTTTTCTCAATTATAAACAATGCTAGAATGATCACCTCAATAGCTAAATCTTTGAGATAACTATTAATATTATTTATTTGAAATGAATATATCTCTAGTGGAAGAATTGCTGGCTCACAGCATATATACACTTTTAAAACATCTTCATATCCTTTCAAATTTTTCTTTAGAGAGATGTTCCCATTCAGCTCCTATCAGTGACAAAAATTGGGAGTTGCTGGTGCGTGATTTCTAAACCCTTGCCCACATTGGGCATTATCATTCTTTTTCATTTTAATAGGTAACATAGGTATTTTATTTTAACAATTAGTTTTGATTACTATTATAGTTAGGTTGAATATTTTCATGGGTTTCTTTGTAGTAAATAAATTTTGATCTATGGAATTTTATTCTGTCCTGTATTACAGTAGTTATCAGATGGTAGGGACTTTCTTGTCCTAATTAGGTTTGTATACATGTATTTCTATGATTGTGTGTGTGTGTGTGTATGTGTGTGTGTGTGTGTGTTTGTGTGTACTTGAACTGCATTCACATGCATATGCCACTCTTGGTTTTACCCTGGGCTTATAAAGACTATCCATGAACCTTAGTTTTGTAAGATGACCCTCAACTTTTAAATGCTTTTCTTTCTCTTCTTTCTCTCTCTCTCTCTTTTTTTTTTTTTAAGAAAGGGAACATAACCCATGACCTGGGGGAAATTCTGGTTAATTTTTCATTACATGCCTTTCAGGAGATGGGGTCAAAAGGAGCTAGTAGGGCATTCAATTATGTGCTTGAGTGTGTTGGAAATGTTTTTTTTTTCCCCCCCTCAGATGTACAATATTTTACTTGGGCTTGTTTTTCAAGTGCATTGAAGTATGACTAAACATTTTTGGGTACTACCATTACGTAAAGAAGAGGGTCCATCTTGTTAAGTATTCCAGTTAGCTAGTGGTGAGAATCCTGAGAGAACATGGGCTTTAGGCATTGGACAGGGGGAGGGTGGGTGGTGGGTGGGGACCTGGGGCAAACTCAGGAGTGGGGTGCTCTGTTGCCCCTCCCACTGCTGTATGAAAATGTGATTGGTTCAAGCTGGTTTCTGTCTAATAATTTTGGGTGGGTCATAAGTGGAGAGGGAGGGGGAAGTTGTGTGGTTGGACCTCAGCTCATCTGAGGGCTAAAGGTCCTTTTGTCACACATCACGCAGAATTGGAGCGTGGTGGGGAACTGAGATACAGTTCCAAACCAAAGGAATAGCGAAGGACTTGATTTCTTTTTGGCTTTAGATTGGGGATAAGGGAGGCTCAGAAAGGAAGATGTCCACTGAAAATGTGGAAGGGAAACCCAATAACCTTGGGGAGAGAGGAAGAGCCTGGAGCTACACTTTCCTCAGGGTTGTCCAGCCAGTGTTTAACCACAGTATTTTCACTTCTGCAGTCTCTCCTGCCGCAGAACGCATCCGATTCATCTTGGGAGAGGAGGATGACAGCCCAGCCCCCCCACAGCTCTTCACGGAACTGGATGAGTTGCTGGCCGTGGATGGGCAGGAGATGGAGTGGAAGGAGACAGCGAGGTGAGGCATAGCTGATTGTCTGCAGTACTGACCTGGGGAAGCAAGCACAGGGCAAGATGGTTGAGCCTGTGAGTGCCATTCTCTAGCCCTAGCACTTGGATAGCTGCTGGGCATGGTGTTGGCGGGAATAAGGAATAGACGATTCTATTTCTTCTTTTCTTTTCCATTGACATAGATGCAGAGCACCCCTTATTCACTTCTGGAACATTGTTTCATTGATCTGTGTTGTTATAATTTTGACTTTTTAAGGAATTAGAAGTAAATCTTAATATTTTAAAGAGATAATAAACCCAGGCATCTAAAAATGATAGCCAAGAGATACGTTTCCACAGTGTCCACATGCGAAGATATCCTGTGAGATCTTGTCTGACTTATTCCCCATCCCTGCTAGGAGGCAGGTTGTGAAGACAACGAGAGTTAGCACGAAGTTGCTGTTATGACGGTCCCCCTCTATCTGCAGTTTTAATTCCCGTGGTTTCAGCTACCCAAAGTACGTTACAGCAGGATATTTTGAGAGAGAGAGAGGGAGAGAGAGAGAGACCACATTCATATAAAACCTATTGTGGTATAGTGTTATAATTATTGTTTTACTATTAGTTATTGTTAATCTCTTGCTGTGCCTAATTTACAAATTAAACTTTATCAAAGATATGTATGTATAGGAAAAAAACATAGTGTATATAGGATTGGTACCCTCCATGCGTTCGGGCTTCCACTGGGGATCTTGGAATACATTCCCCATAGATAAGGGAGACTACTGTATTTCAAGTAGAAACCTGTAATCTTTTAGATATCCAGCTGAAAGCAAGTAGAAGGTTCACCTGAATTTGGAGTTTAGAAACCTGGCTGTACTTTCAGACTCTGTTGCCTCTTAGCTACATGACACTCAGTTTCTTAGACTTTGGTGTCATTATCAATAAAGAGTGGATAATAATACCTACTACATATAATATATACGCTATATAACATATGTAAATATATTATTATACAATGTATATATAATGTGTATATATACATATATGTGTCTGTATATATGGAAATGCTTTGTAAATTGTTAAGCACTACACAAAGATCTAAAGTTTCATTAATCTCATGACAACAAAGGCTTTCTTTACATACAGATTCAGTAATATACTCCAGACTAAATCTTCTTTTTCACATGTAACAATTATGTGATATAAAGACTTTGATATATTGTGGTTGTTGAGCTTTCACTGTTATCAGTATGTGGTGATACCAATGTATTTCACTCTCACAAACAAAATAATGTTAAGATACACCATTTATAGTCTATAATTATAAGTTCAAATCAATGCAATTCAACCAGTGTGTTTTGAATGAGTAGTGTACATCAGGCACTGTTTTAGGTACTGGGAATACAGCCGTGAGCAAAGAAGGTCTTACATAGATCTCTGTATCTTGTTGAAAAGTTTGAAATGAGTTTAATATAATATTAGAAGATACCGCAGATTTAATATCATATTGTAAGATACAGTCTGAGGAATAAGGAAAACCAAATCTTCATTGGAGCTTTGAGTTTAAGAAAGATAAAGCAGAGATAAGTGAAAGTCTTCTTCTGTGGCTGTAGATGGAAAAGGGATTTATGTTTGCTGTTTTACTTATAGAGAGGTCATTCTAGAGTCAGCAAGAAATTATTTTTTTAATCATCTGTGATCAGTAAGAGCAGATGAGCTATAAAGAAGCAGTAACTCAATAGCTTTTCCTTTTCTGTATGAAGGCTCTTTTAAGTTATAGGAGATGAACAGAAACTTTTCAAATGAAGATAGACTAATGGCCAAGAAACATGAAAAAATGCTGAACATCTCTAATCATCAGGGAAATGCAAATCACAACCACAATGAGAAATCACTTAACTCCAGTGAGAATGGCTTTTATCAAAAAGTCCCAAAACAACATGTTGGTGTGGATGCGGAGAGATAGGAACACTCACTCATACACTGCTGGTGGGACTGCAAACTAGTGCAACCTCTGTGGAAAGTAGTGTGGAGATACCTCAAAGAACTAAAAGTAGTCCTACCATTTGATCCAGCAATCCCACTACTGGTATTTACCCAATAACCAATAACGAAAAAAAGACATTCTATAAAAAAGATACCTGACTCTTAAATGTTTATAGCAGCAAAATTCGCAATTGCAAAGTTGTGGAAGCAACCCAAGTGCTGATCAATCCGTGAGTGGTTTAATAAAATGTGGTATATGTCTACCATGGAGTACTACTCAGTCATAAAAAAATGGTGAACTAATACCTCTTATATTAACATGGATGGAACTAGAGCCCATTTTTCTAAATGAAGTATCACAAGAATGGAAAAACAAACACCACATGTACTCACCATTAATTAGTACTAATCGATCAACACTTAGGTGCACATATGGAAAATAACATTCATTGGGTGTTGGGCAGGTGGAAGGGGGAGAAGGGGATGGGTAAACTCACACCTAAGGAGTGCGGTGCACACTGTCTGGGGAATGGGCACACCTGTAGCTCTGACTCGGGTGGTGCAAAGGCAATTTATGTAACCAAAACATTTGTACCCCTGGAATATTCTGAAATTTAAAAAAAGAGTTATAGGAGAAAATAAAATAACTCTTTTCTGAGGCATATTTACAATTTTATATATTATACCACTTGTAATCAAATTTTCATCAAGTTAATTGGATTTTTTTTTTGTTTAGTTACTCAGGCTTACACTTTGTAGGTTTATAGGTTTATTTTTATTTCCAAAAGTTGAATGTGCTATTGAATGTCTTCAACCATTTGTGATTTTTTAATACTGGAGATGCTTCATAAATTAATTCATTTCTTAATGTTGGAGAAGGTTTTGTTCCTTAGCAAGAATTTCTAGGTAGCTTAGCCTTGCAGAAAACACCTGCTTTTAAAAAGTTTAGTAGACATCATAGAGAATTTCTTACCTTCCATAACTTAAACCATGCTCAGAAAAAAAAAATCATTATGTTTTATTCCTAAACCTCACAGTAGTATTAAGGAAAAAGACCTAATTCTTAAATATTTCATTTTCCATTTGCTGGATAATTTTCTCTCTGTTAGTTATCTATAGTGGGCATCCTTATGTTATTGCTTCTGTTTGATAGCTAATATTTTCTTCTTCTAATTAAAACTTTTCATAGCATGTTTTCTACTGCGCCATCTCTAGTACTCTCTCGAAGCTCTTCGTTCTTTGCTTTCAGAGCTTCTTCCCATGATCTAGTAATTGTCTCTTATTCCCCTCTCTCAGAACCAATAATCTGTATATTAAAACTCTTCTCTAAAATACTATTTTAGTACCTAAAACATCCTCCAAAAGAATGGTTCTAAAGCAAAAACTTTTACTAGTATATCTGTTCCATTCTTCCCCCGACCTTCTTTCTGATAGGAAAATAGAGAGTAAGAATTGCACGGGTACAGCCTGAATTAAGCATTGGGAGATTTTGGTCTAGCCTTGGCTTTGCTGCTCACGACCTGTTTAACTTTGAGCAAGTGACATCGTCTTCCCGAGCTTGAGTCTTCTATTCTATCAGATGAAGATTATATTGGGTTGCCTCCTTTCTAACATTATGGAGATTTGATAACTCTAAAATTTCAATCTTGTGGGTATACTGGTGCAGTCAGCTGTGACTCTAAGAGCTTCTTATATTCTTATTTTCATCTTGAAATTGTGTGCGAGTAGTTATCATGGAGTAGAATTCAGGTATAGTTTTCTGTTTTCTATTTCAGTCAAATGAAGACTATACTGTATTTTACATGACAGCTGGTCCAAGAAAAGCAGAGAGAGCACAGTTCATTGTATAGGTAACTAAGGGAGATGAGCGTAGTATTTTCATTTGAAATTCTTAAAGATTAAGATGGCCTCAAAGACTTTCCCATTCATAAACACTTTATTTCCTTGGGAGCACATGTGCCAGTTTGGTGATGTAGTCAGTCCCCAAGAGACTGGACTGCTGGAGAGGAAGTGTGTTGGGAATATACTATACTAGGAAGAAAAAGTATTCACAGTCTACACTCTGTAACATCTCTTGTATAGGACTGCCACAGTTCCTGTTAATAAATTGATCATATATGTGATATTATTGTTTTCATATGGTCTCTCTCATTACACTAATTCATCTGAACGTAGGGACCACGATGTGTTTCTGTTCACTGTGGTATTACTAGTGTCTGGCAGTGCCTGGTTCTTAATAGCTGCTCAATAAATATTTGTATGAGTGCATGATTAGTTGAGAGTTGATTGCCTTGGCAACAACTGAATATAATACTTTCTTAGAAATATTAGTTGAACAAATTAGGGTTCTGTTACAATTTGTCTCTTTTTGACTGATGGGTGCCTGCGGAATGGCAGACACCAACACACCCAGCACGACACTGATAAAGCTCAGAAGAGGACCTACAGTTAAAGTTTCAAACTAGGTCATTAATATGCTGGTGACATCTGCATTTATTAATACATCTCTAGCATAGGCGCCTTTCCTTATTTAACTGGACTCCAATAACTGGAGGGCTAACAGGATTCTCAAAATTAACATGTCTAAAACTGAGCTTCAGATTTACTCCTCCTACAGATTGCCCCATCTCATTAACAAGTCCTTTCTTCTAGTCCCTTAAGCCAGAAACGTCGGGGTGCTCCTTAACTCCTGTCTTTCTCTACCCCCGTTATCTGACCAGTTGGCAAATTCTATTTTCCCATCAAAGATGTTCACGTATTTAGAGGTATCACCACATCTCACTGCCACAACCCTGGTTCCTACCATCATTTATTACCTGGATTACCCCAAATGCCTCATAATGCGTTGGTCTCTGCACCTGTTCTTACTTCCCTCCTGAACAATCTGCCATGATCTTTTTGACCTTCTCTCCTTTTTCCTTCCCTCTTGTTCACCCTCTTGAGCCTCCCTGGCCAGTCAGGCTACTCTGTCAGGGCCTCTGCACTTGCTGCCCCCTCTGTCCGACATGCTCTCCCTGCCCAGCTCCTTCCCAGTTGCTG